TGTAGTATATTTAGTATGTTCAGGGGGTATCTCTTGAAGATTTCCCCATTTTTGATAATAATCTAAACAAAACAAAAATATATTTAGTATCGGCTTGCACCCGTGCGAAGCTGGAGCGGGTCGCTAGTATTTCATAAAAATAAAACAAGAAAACTGACAATTTATTTAAATACGACTCTTTAGTATAAAAGCCTTAGAAAAAAGAGGAGGCCTCTCGTAAAATTTTAGATCTAGGCCTTACTTCTCACACACGATTAATTAAAGCCGGCTTTGCTTATGAGAGAAATATCTACTTAATTAAATGATAAATTTTTTATTAGGCAGATACGTATAGGTACCTACTTGAACGTATCTTACATAACGCAACCAAATCCACACAAGTCATCACAATTTTTTATTTCTTCCGCTTTTCGGAAAATCCCAAATTCCTTTGTATGAAAAACGTACGTCAACACGTATATGTACATGTACATACAGGGTGTCTATTCACAACGAATCTAATTAAAAAATCGTTACGAATAAAATGGTACCTACCCAACAGTACACGACGCGACGTTCACATTTTCTCGCGATATTCCTTATCATTGTTATTATTGTTATCATTTATTACAACAGTCGCGAATGCTTTTCTGCAAAACTCAGTCGACGTACCGTCTTTTCATTACATGTATTATCATAGCGTTGAGTGAGATTTTCGGATCAAGAAAACCGTAAAGCAAAGAGAAAGCAATCAACAAAAGCCCAGATTACAAATATTACATGGCAAAAAGCAACATTACTAAACGCTGAAAAATTGATTTGCACTGATGCTGTTGTTAACCAGGTATTTATTTATTTGCAAAGTATACATTAGAAACGAAGAAACATACGTCGCTTTTGCATTTTTAAAGTCAGTCAGTTCAAAAACTCCGTCAGTGTTACAAGTGGTGTAATAAGATAAAGTTTTTAACAAGTTGTAAGTAAAATTTGTTATATATATATTAGTTTGACGAATCTGTGCCTAATAAGTACGTTAGTAGTTGGTTCTGCTGTTACTTCTTGTAGCTAAGTGGTTCGAACGTTGATGTGTAGCGCGAAAGGTCCCGGGTTCGATCCCCGGCGAGGGTGTGACAGCAGCAACAATTTTTTCTCATTAATTTTGAATACAAATTAGATGAATTTTCACACTATATTACTTCCTTTTACTTTTTTTAACACTTCGACGTCGTTAAATAATCTATTTAATATTTTTCCTTGAATTATTTTGCCATACAGATAAGGCAAAATGTTCATCGAACTAAGTCAATTAAAATTATTCTCCTAATTGACAGATTTGAGTTAGTTAACAACGTCCTTGCTTCTTGAAAAGTTACTTCTTCACTCTCTTAACGACCGTTTTAGCAATAAACAAATGAGCAAATTATAAACGTATAAAAATCACCCGTGAAACAGAACAGACATTAAAAACATAAAACGGTAATTACATTAGCTATTGCTTTCGTTAATCCCAAATGAAACAGGTACATGGATACATGTACTGTATTTTATTAACGACAATTCATTTAATCTTGTTCTCAAAGATTAAGCAAAAAAGTATTTAATCAAGCAATAAAGGATTAACCCGATCGTAACAAAAAACAACTGTATGAATATTAATTTATTAATAAACAGAAGAAGCATGTGATTTAAAATTGAAGGTATTTCCCTAACCGTTGACGTAACATTAAAACTTGTTCTTGAACTCATGATTAGATATTTTCAATTTCTTTAACAACAACAAAAAATAAATAATAACGCGTAAAATAGCACCACTCGCATCTGTTTTTAATAAAAGTAGGTACTTTGTTTACGCAGTGTTCTTATGAGATGTACAGTATTAGATTCTTTGCAACATTTTAAACAACATTTTCCTTTAAAGTTATTTGATTAAACGCCTCGTTATCGAGAAATTAACAATTATGAAATAAGATAATCGACCAATCAAAGTGGGCTTTCTCTGTTGCAAGTAGATCAACTGAAACAACTGACGAGTCAGGGCGCATTTTGTTTGTTGCAAGCTGACGTATAAATGATTGAAGAACGAGCTTTCTCTGTTGCAAATAGATCAAATGAAACAAATGACAAATCAGGGAGCATTTTGTTTGCCGCAAGCCGAATCAACAATAAGATAGGCGACCAATCAAAGAGAGCTTCCTCTGTTGCAAGTAGATCAACTGAAACAATTGACGAATCAGGGCGCATTTTGTTTGCTGCAAGCTGACGTATAAATCAATCAACAATAAGATAACTGACCAATCAAAGCGAGCATTCTCTGTTGCAAGTAGATCAACTGAAACAATTGACGAATAAGGGCGCTTTTTGTTTGCTGCAGAATCAACAATTGAAACATAAGCTACGCCAACTTCTACTTGCAACAAACAAATGCTGTTCTGATTGAATGGTTCATATCGATCTTTATTCACTAATAATATCAAAATTACACATCCAATTGAAAAACTTTAAAAGAAAAAGTTTCCCAGAATTTCGCAAAGAATAGGATGGTACAATTTCGGTTATAATTAAGAAAACAATTGACGCAATACGGTCCGGTTTATGTTGTAGTTCCATTTTATCTTTATAATCCGCCCCCATTAATATTATGTTGTCTGGCTTATGGCCACTTGAACAATACCAGGCCAAAAAGAATATTATTTCATAGGTACAAAAATAAATTCACATACAAATATCATACACATACCTAGTAGTAATGTACCAGTATATCAGAGCAACGTTAATAGAAACAGTATGTAACATTAACGCGTGTCTAGCGTCGAGACGCCAGGCGTCTTAATCACCATTTCCTACATACATCAGTGCGATTTTCTTTCTACTCTATTCGTTCTTCAAATAAAAATTCCGCACTTATTAAAGTTTCATAATAAATAAACGTTTTAAACGGTAAAACAGTACAATGGAATATTTATTATCCGATCGCGTGCTTAGATGATTAGGACATTATTTACAACAACGGCAATTAACACTATATGTAACAGTTGGTATGTATTTGAGTTTAGAACAATGTTTTTTTGGTTAACGCAAAATGTTAATTAATAGGAATTGGTAAAGCACGACTTATTAGACAGGTGCATGTAATTTAATTTAAAATCGACGTTTCTTAATTAATTACCGCAGTCATTTTAACATATTGCTTCTAATTAATATACAGTCTGTACAACATGAGAATGCAGCTATTAAGTGTAATGAATGAATTAAAAGTTGTGAAACTAATAAAATCGCCCGAGCACATTTTGTTTTGTAATTTTGAATAATAATTATTCAATTTGTTTTCGCGCAATAATTAATCAACTTTCTGTAGTTGGAGTGTCGAAAGGGAAGATGTATTAACAGAAGATAAAACAGAAATAGGCATTCTAGGCCATCCTCGACGTTTTTTTAAATAGAGCAGCTGTTTTAAGTGCTTTGTAAAAATGAGAGTTCATACAATAAACAAATTTCGATTTGAATTAAAAAAAACAACTGGACAATTTCAAGAAGTCGTATTTTGTTTTTCTTCAAACTAACGTGATATTTACAATATTTTCAATAAGTGGGAATTATTTCAATTTTTTTTGTGATTCAAATTAATAATTAATATGATTTAATTATTGACTTAAAGGTTAATGCACTTGAATAAAAATTGTGTGAAAACGGTCATTCTTTCTAATAAATACATATATATATAAAACATCACGATCATTATTAATGTTTTTATAATTATATCGACATCGACGTCACTGGTCCAAGGATCCACTTATTTAAATATTATAACGCCATCCTCGAAAATTATAACAAAATTTCTAGCGTCTTCCGCACTTCTTTTCAAATCCTAAGCCTGACCTTTAATCAAAAACCAATAATAAACTCGTTAGTGTAAACTTTTACAATTTGGTAAACCGCTGTGCGTCAATGTTTTTGAAATATTCAATGTTTGTTTTTGATATCAAAAAGAATTACGATAATCGACGTTCTTTTCGAAAATTAACCTTAAAGAGAAAAATGGAACACAGATATTAAAAAAAATGAAAAACAAATAAGTAACAATCAATAAATAAACGATATTGTTAAAGAAACCTTTCTCTTTAATAACGATTTTTATGTCAGTAAGACCTTATAAACGCTTAATATTTTAAACTAAAAATGTCGTAAATATATTACGAAATATGCAAACATTGAAGACGGTTCATAATTTTAAAGTTCGAAACGCTAGGCATTGAAATGTAAACGTATCCAAAGTTGAGTGATGCTCCCTAACCGTAAATCTAAACCTCCTTAATCCTTTAAGCCTCAATTACCTACATTTTGAAATCCAAATACAATTTTGAACTACCAAAATCATACTTCAAAGAACTGGAAGCACATTTTTAAGAAGATCTACCCAAACCTGAACCTCTTCATCATCATAAGGTCGTCAGTCCTAAGACTGGTCCGATAGGCACCTCCACTCTTTCCTATCCTGAGCTAATCTTCCCAAAACTAGAACTACCCATATCCTTAACTATTTGCGAACAGTAATCTAATCTAGGTCAACCCCTACCCCTCCTAACTCCCGTTTCTGTCTCTAATATGTCTTTGACTAGCCCTTCATGCCTGAGAAGGTTTCCTACCAACCTATCTCTCTCCTATTTCTTACTGACTTCCATAGAGTCCTCTGTTCTCCTATTCTTTCTAATATCTCTTCATTTCTAACCTTCTCTATCTACGGTATCCTCATCATTCGCCTGTAACACCACATTTCGATCGATTCTAACCTTTTCTTTACCGCCGCGCCCACCTTCCATGTTTCGCACCCGTACAGAGCCGCATACACATTTAACAATCTTTTTGAAACTTCTAAATTAACCGCTCGCGAGCATAGAAGTGACTTCTTTTTATTGAAGGAGAAACCTGAACCTATCACACCTTAATTAAAAAACCGATTAAAAAAAAAATAAGCTTTATTACGTTAGACCTATCAAAAATCGTGAGTCAAGTGTTTAGTTTACGAATACTATATCAAAAAAATGTAGGAATAATAATTCTTTTTGTTAGGTAGGTATATGTCTACCTCCCCCCCCCTTGCAAACAAGATTACCTATCTAATAAATTAGAAAAAACTTGGAGATAC